GTTTTGTTCCCAGAATTCTAAAGTATTGTGGTCAGAAACCTCCCAATCAAACTAACGCTGGGAGAAATGCGTGTCTCAGGAAAATTTCTTATTGAATTGCGTGTCGCTACATTTGATAAGACCATACTATCGGCATCGGCATAATATCACCACAACATGCTGGCATACAACAAACATTGGCTTAGCGTAAACAAAATTTGTAATTACCAGAAGAATTTAAATATTTCTTATTGCACCTGCGTAAAATTGAAACCGGTTTTTAAGCTATCGTGTCGATCTTGTGCCAACAGAAGTAGTGTCAAAGCTATGCAGAGCAGCATTCCTGATCCAAGCAGCTGCTGCATTCACATAACTTAGATAATAACTTAGATAACTGCATAACTTAGATAATGCTTTCTCTTTTTGGCCAGATGTGAAAACTACAGTCAGTCACCTGATTTTAAAACCGAAAGAGGCAATCAGTAGAGATAAATACTACCGTCAAATGGAAGAACTACAGCCATCTCCCTATTTAACAACTAAAATCAGATATTACTGCTGTCATTGATCGAAAGAATTACCCTGTATAGGAAATGTTACCAGTCATCGAAGTCTAAGATCTTTTATTTATCTTCATTTAAAAAATCCCATCGCTTATCAGTAGCGCAGTAATTTTACCGCAGCGCGAATTTCTGCTGCTATTTTCCCACGTTCTAGAAGATTTTTCTGAGAATTTATAAATTTTTTGATTTTCCCCAAGAATTTCGGAATTTTCCCTAATACTTTTTTTAATTTTTAGTATAACTGCTAAATATTTTTCACATTTCAAACGTACAATGCAAAGCAATTCTATTCCAAATTCTAAACTAGAAGACTGAACTCTGAATTACCTTAAATTTTGCTGGAATTGGATATGAGAAAATGCCGTTTCCGGAAGTTGCATAAATTCGTCCTCGCTGTCTATCAGTGACGATAAACAATTCCGATATCGAAAGATCCTTTTCAAAAAATGTTTCTAAGTAAAGTAAATATGGTATATACAATGAAGTGTATTAAAAGCACGTTCCAATTACATTTGATAATCGTGATCTAAAGTAACAGAATTGTATACACTTCCAAAATTCAATAAGTTTCAATTAAAAAACGAACACAATAATTTTTGGATAATTACGTATCAGTTATTTGTGTTATTATTTTGTTTCTGGTGTTTTTCACTGTTAAAGCAAATCCGTGTCAGGTAATTTTCTGGCGAAATTGTGTAAATTCCAGGCCGTGAAAGTTCACAGAATTTTCACTACTCACCCCATTACCCTTTTCCGTGAATTCTGCTCCTTTTGCGAAACAAAAAAATTACTGCCTTATTCAACAGCATAACAAACAGAATCATGCAAAGCAATCTGCAATTTTAATAACAAATTGCAGCATATGTTATTAATGTTTACAATAATAGTATTGTACCAAAATAATACATTTCTAACGCCATATAATACACATTTTGATTATAAAATTTACAGCAGTACTTCTGGTGTGTACTCTCATATACACCTAAGAAAAATCTTTCTGTAATAACCTAAACATATTAATTGTCTATATAATATATTTCCTGTTTTAATTTCATTTAGAAGATAATATGCATTTTTAATTTTAAACATTTTTTTAACATTCAAAAAAGAATTAAGAATATAAATGTACGAACTTTTAAAACCAGAATTCTTACTTTTGCAACATTCGAAACATTTCATTTTTTCCTTGGATATGTACTATTTGGAACAATTTTTCCACTTGAAACCAAACTTTAACGTTTCCTCTCTTTCTTGTTGACAATATTACCAATCGCTGCTTTAGATATCGAAAAACCATGGCTTTAACCGCGGTTTTAAAGAACTAGATACGAATAATTTTCTTCGAAAAGATCACAAACTTAGCCGTCTATCCATTGCTTCTTTAAAAGCGCCATTTTTCATGAAAACAAAGCTGTCAAGTAGCAGACGATAACTCATACTTTCAAAAATATATTTGGAGATAAAAAAATTTCAAGCAGACGATATTTTATATATTAAGAATATAAATGTACGAACTTTTAAAACCAGAATTTTTACTTTTGCAACATTCGAAACATTTCAATTTTTCCTTTGGATATGTATTTGGAACAATTTTTCCACTTGAAAACAAACTTTAACGTTCCCTCCCTTTCTTGTTGACAATATTACCTATCGCAGCTTTAGATATCGAAAAACCATGGCTATAACCGCGGTTTTAAAGAACTAAATACGAATAATTTTCTTCGGAAAGATCACAAACTTAGCCGTCTATCCATTGCTTCTTTAAAAGCGCCATTTTGCATGAAAACAAAGCGTTCAAGTAGCAGACGATAACTCAGACTTTCAAAAATATATTTGGAGATAAAAAAATTCCAAGCTGACGATATTTTATAGCAAAGGAAAATCATCTAAAAGTGTGCGAATAACCTCCGTAGAAGAGTAATATTTGCATAATTTTTCCCGCATTAAGTCTGTGTTTTGGCAAAGTTCGGTTCCCAGAATTTGGAACCTTCACAGTTTCTTATTATTTTACATATCATAAGCATGTATGCACGAGTAGTTTTTTTTTTTTTTTTTTTTTTAAAGTAAGTTCACTATTTTGACCCAGTCGCAAGGCAATAAGTTAAATCACCTTTAAAAGTGTTAAACTAAAATCTGAAAGCAATATTTTCTTTTCTTTTCTTTACTCTTCTCATTACATCCCGCTAATGAAAAAGAAGAAATATGAAAGGTACAGTAACTAATTTAAAGGAAGATAACAAAAGATTATTTGCAAAAATATAAACCAGATAAATTAATTAGCGTGTGAATTTATATTGATTTGCTTTTCCAATATTCGCATATTCATTTTTCTTATAATAGAAATGAGAAAAACTGATAAAAATCTCAAAAACTAGTGTACGTTATTTTTATTTTATTTCCGATTAAAACTAGTAAATATTGCATTTTTAAAAATATTTTTTGCTAAAAAATTATGTAAATAACTTTCACTTTACATTTGTTTTAAAGAATTCCCCTCCCCTACACACACACCAGGACTAGGCAACTGCGCCAACGTGGAATAAAATGAAGGAAAATAATCTTGAGTAAATTTTGAATTTATAAATGAATTTAATTCAATTCTCACAGAGGCGGGACAAAGGTGAGGCACTTGAATAGGGTGAATCACCAGAAGGGGCGCCAAATTGGCCATACGAATTCGAAAATTACTTTAGTTATGTTTTTAAATTTGTCAGTTATTACTTGGGAAATAAACTCCCAGCAAACTTAAATTAATAAAACAATAGGAAGAATTGCAAGAAAATCTCGAAATCAATGCAATGTGAAATTCGATGTTATTTCTTATTTATCAAAAAAAAAAAAAAAAAAAAAAATTTAACATTTTCATTTGAAAGTTATAAATAATTCGCTATATTATTTTTCCGAATTTATTAAAGCTACGATTAAAAAATACTTTAAGAATTATGGTATGTTTACGCTATAAGAATTATGATGTTTTGATTTAATACATTTACTTTTGTTTAATACACATATAGCTATTTTGATATATATACAGGAGCGCGAATTGACCTTTTTGTATTTTTGCCTCAGGTAAAAAAATATCTTGGTTATTAATAATAACCAAGATATTTTTTTTAATTAATTTAAATTAATTTTTTTAAATTTAATTTAAATTAATAATCTGCTCTGTATTTTCAGCAACAAAATGAAATATAACTTTCATTAATATAATATTCTGATATATAGACGTGAAATAATTCTCGAAACAATAATAATACGTGGTACTTTTCAAAAATTTCATCTTACTTCTTATAGATCGAAAATTAATTTTTGCGATTTTCAATGCGAAACTCCGGAAACATTATTTAGAATATCAGCATTTTTGTTCTAGAGACTATATATTTGCAGAGATAATTGGCATCGAGCTTTTAAGGTTTTAAATTTAACCCTTTCCGGCACGCTACCTTTTAAAGTCGGAGTTTTGATTTAAAAAAAAAAAAAGGTAGGCTGTCTAATTAGGCCTAGAGGAGTACAAAAGTAAAATTTTGTGATGTAAAGTAAAACTTATCGTTTTAATTCTGTGGGTGTGCCCAAAGTGGGCACACTGATTGAATAGAGTTTCGAAAAGAGTGCTGAAACGAACATTGTTGTCAATGAACTGACCGATGAGATGCGGAGAAACAAAGAATACAGACTCTCGGTTGTCCTAGATGATCGGTGAGCCCAGTCTGGGCACACCTAGGGTTCGCCGTTTGATTTTAGGCAAGATTTCAAGGTAAAAATTTAAAACTAATATAGAATAAGGAGATCAGCATACAGCCAAAAAAATAACATAGAAATTTCTTTTCAAACAATTCCCTTTATACTCTAAAAAAAAATCTGTAAGATTTCTTTGAAAAATGAGGGTCTTAAAAAACTAAACATGGCTAAAATATATGGACTGGTTTGTGTTGAGCTGCCATCTACTATAAATAAAGAAAGTTCAGAGTAATCTATAGTAACCTATAAATCCTTTTTTAATCATTTTTTCTGTGCGTACAGAAGGAAATTTTTTGGTGTGTCCAGACCGGACACACTGTGCCGCAAAGGGTTAAAGCAGTTAGATACAAATTTGTCAGAATGAATATCTGAAAAGAAAAAGAACATGTTTCGATCGAAAAACCGTTATTTTTCAGTGTCAAATGCATGCACAGTTGACGAGATGAATGTTTAGGCAGGAATTTTTCTCTGCTTCCTAACTTTTAGGCGAAAATTACATAAAAAAAAAAGTTTGATTTTTGCCTCCTCTCCATTTTTTTAAACCTTATAATTTTATTCCTTTGTACAATTATTAAAGAAATAAAAAGCTTAAAAATCTGGAACACAATATTATAAAGTAGAATAAAACACAAAACTCTAAATTAGTGAGAATATGAAGTCTTGGCAAAGCTAGATACCAGTACTGATAACAGCACCGTGTAAACTCATACTTACTTACACAAGAAATTTGCATCACTGTTTTAAGACAGTTGAACCCACGGAACCATAAAAGAATCATGTATTTTCTTACCTGCAAGAGAAGAAAAACAAAGAATAAGCATTAAAAAAGTCGGTGAAAGAACAATATTAATATAAATAACAAACGAAGGAAAAAAGGTCGATACACAATTTATTTTTTGCAATGGTTTTAAAATAAAGTTAAAAAGTTTTGCAAGTGATTTTACTAAGAAAATTGAATATTGATATGAACTGAAAATTTTATTAAAGAAAGTCTGAAAGGGTCCAGAATTTTAACGGTTGTCTAAAAAGGGTTTGTAAAGGTTTTCTATGCTCCCGCTGAGATCACAGTCTACCAACCAATCTGCTGCTGCAATGACTCCTATAAACTTTTTTTTTTTTTTTTTTTTTTTTAGCTAGCTTCATTATTAAGCATCGTTTTCTCCGCACTTACATCACATACAATTCAAAAGCAAAATCACAAAAATTTTGACAGCAGCATTGCAGCATATTTCGAATTCTCGATGTAGTGTTAAGTATTTACATAATATTTTTTTCAGTCTTTTCTCAGTTAGTTCTATCAGTGTTCTGATTTCTTAGTAAAATGGCTTATAAACTGCTTTTTTTTCCCTTTTTTACTTCCTTGTACGAAATAAAAAGGAAGTATTGTAATCGCGAAAAGTTTCAGGTAACATATTTCAACAAAAATATCCATTTTGACCGCTGTCGCATGCAATTTAGCGATGTTTTTGCGTGATATCTGTACGCAAGGACAGAATAAAACACTCTTTTCCTCAAAAAAAAAAATTATAAAACTGCTTTAAAATGAATTCTGAAGAGAATTTTTCGTGGCGTCTGTACGAACGTATGTACGTATCTCGCATAACTCAACGAGTAGCCACAGAACGTTGAAATTTGTATATAGGACATAACATGTAGATGTGCACCTCGATCTTGGTTGCCAATCGCCGCAACCAAACGTATATAAATATTTTTATATATATATCCACTTGTTACCCGGCTTAGTGATCTGTTTCTTTACTCTTATATGTTTGTAAATTGTAAACTTTTTTGTTTTAAAAATAATTGAATTATGTTGATTTAATCTTCCGGTTAACGTTTTTATGCCTTTAGTAAATCTGTATGCAATATTTTTAGAATTATCAACCATTTTAAAGTTGTTTAAGTGCCGCTAAGCCTTTTTTTTTATGGCGGCCATTGATTGTTTACATTTGAAACAGCAGACTAGTGGATTTGTTGCCAATCTAGAGAAACGTAGCTTCGCAACAACAAAGATAACGCCTTCTAGCGAGGTGAGAACCGAATTAATTGAATGAGAAATACTCAATCGTCTGAGAAAAACTGCTTCTTTTTTGTTTTGTTTGCTTAATTTCTTTTATACATCATTCTAGCTTTATTATAGTACTTGAATAGAACTTGTGGCAACGATTAGATAATTCTATTCTTTAAATGATATAAATTTTGTGCATTGTGAGTTATAATATGAACGAAATATAATACTGTTAAGTGAATCTAGCGCCAGAGTGTCGCTATGGTAAAAAAATACTAGAGTGAATTTTAAAAAATGCATTTATTCTATTGTGGTTTATGCGCTGTCGGCGAAGTAGGTTTAATTCAATCTAATAAGTTTAAATGAAATGCAAGAAAAACTGCGTATAATTAAATATTCCGTACAAGGAAGTCATGTGGTGTACACATCAGATTTTTTATTATTAACATTTTGTGAGTTAATTTCATTTACTAAATATCACGTTCTTCGCACTTACACCACATAAAATTCAATTTGACAGCCAAATTATATAATATCTAAAAACAGCACATCTTTAGAATTTTCGATAGACAGTCTCGCGCGCTGTAGATTAAAATGTGAATGTTTTATTCCGTACAGTGCTGCCAACTGCTCACTTTCAAATCGCTGCGTTTGTTCATCGAAAATTCATTAAAATGTTTACAAAATATGAAATAGGTAATAAAACAAATTCAAAATTCGGACTTCCAGTGAAAATCTTCCAGTGTAGGATTACGTTATTTAAAACTGGATGGCTCTAGGTATTGTCATTTTTAATAATGCGAGGAACATACATACATATATGCAGATTCTTCATTATTTAATTTCTTTAAAAATAATACAGGGCGTAATACTATTTGGTGGCAACAATTTGAAAAGTGATTCGTCGTTTATGTAGTACTGTTTATAATGTTTATTAAATACCATTTTAAGATTAGTAGCTCCTTTTGACCTAAAGGAAAAAAAAAAAAAAAAAGGGGGGGGGGGGTATTAGCTTCTCCTTTCTCCATATTTATTGGTTTTTATTTCGTTGTTTTGGGATGATGTATTTCTAGCAAAATGGCACAGAGTAATTTTGATCTTTGAAGAGCAGAGACATGTGTTTTATTTCTTCCAAATTTACAGTTTTTTTTTTGGGGGGGGGGGGGGTGAGGTTGTAAAACAGTTGCAAGTCTAAAGTTACCTTGTTTTAAAGCAAAGAAGCTGCTGTATTTTGCAAAATTCAGCACATTAAATTTTATTACCGGTCTTCAAAACGCTTGGCTTAAATTTACAATTAATAAATTATAACTTTAGGATATTATACAATTTTTAGACTTTATTTCAAGAGTACGAAAACAGAAGCACTTCTTTGTAAATGTTCCGTCAAAAGAGGGTCCACTCCTTTAACCACTTGCGCTAAAAAGACGTGCCACGCACGTCGAAATGCTTTTGTTTCAAACCGCGCGCAAAATTGAAAATAACGTGGTGCACACGTCGCCTAACAACGAGATTGTTGATTTCTGGAGTTACTACTCTGGATTGCACTCGCCAGACGTGTAAATGAGACACTTTACCGCTTGTTATTTTAACGGTCGTCTAAAAAGGGTTTGTTAAGGTTTTCTACGCTCCTATAAACTCCTATAAACAATGACTCCTATAAATAATTTTTTTAAACCTTTTAGCTTTATTATTAAGCATCGTTTTCTCCGCACTTACGTCACATACAACTCAACAGCAAAAATACAAAAATTTTGACAGCAGCATTGCAGCATATGTTTCGAATTCCCAGCACATGTTTCGATTTTAGTTTCTTTGCTTAACATGGTGTAGGAAACCCGTTGGCATCCAAAACAGCTTGCAGTCTTCTCGGAATGGATAAATACAGTTCCTGTATGTTTGCAAGGGAATATTATACCATTCTTCCTGCAAAACGGTGGCAAGTTCAGATAACGATGTTGGCGGTGGATAACGAGAACGCACTTTCCGTTCCAATGTAGACCACAAAGGTTCGATAATATTCAGGTCTGGTGACTGTGGTGGCCAGGGGAGATGGGACAACTCATCCTCGTGCTCAGAAAACCAGTCCTGGACAATGTGAGCTGTGTGAATAGGGGCTTTGTCGTCTTGGAAGACACCATCACCATCGGGGAACAAAGTTTGTACCATGGGATGAACTTGATCGGCCAAAATGTTCACATAAGTCTTGGCAGTCATGTGCCCTGACACAGTTATCATGGGGCTAGCAGAGAACCCGATAACCACGATATGGCTGCCCAAACCATAACAGAACCCCCCGCCATGTTTCACTCTTGGCAACAAGCAGTCTGTATTATAGGCTTGAGATGGCGTTTCTCCAGACGTAAACTCGGCCAGAAGTGGGAAACAATGTGAAAGAAGACTCGTCAGACCTTATTACTCGCTTCCACTGCTCTATAGTCCAGGCTTTATGACTTAAATACCACCTTTTCCTGTTACGGGCATTAGCATCACTGACGAGTGGCTTCTCAATTGCAGCACGCCAGCCAGCAATTCCCTGTTTATGAAGCTCCCTTCTAATTGTTTTGGTACTCACAGGGTTTCGGTAACACAACATTCATTTCAGCAGTAACTTTTGCAGCTGTGTGTGGTCTTTCTTATTTTTCGTCAACAATTGCCCTTAATGATCGTCTGTCACGATCACTCGGGACACACTTTCGTCCGCGCGCGCTGTGATTTAGCAGATGATGTTTTTCCGCTTTTCAAATATGCGGAATAAATCTTCGATACAGTACCTCTTGAAACACTAAATACCTCGGCTACCTTGCTTACGGAAGCACCTACCATACGTGCTCCAACAATTTACCCACGTTCGAAGTCTGTTAACTCTGACATAATGCAATGACAACCTCACATAACAGTAGTTCGACAAAAACTGAACTGTTTAGCACATTTACGAAGTTGTATAGGTGGCGTCAGTAGTCAAAAACGCCAGCGCCACCTACATATTTCATTAAAATCAATCTTTCTTTTCAAACATGCATTTCACAAGGTGTTTCCATATTTTTGTCCATCCACTGTATATATCCAGTTTAAAAATGATTGACTTTTTTTAAATTTTTTTTTTAAGTTTAAAAATGACTGATTGTTGTTCTTATCTTCCGGTTAAGGTCTTTATGCCTTTGGTAAATCTGCATGCAATATTTTTAGAATTATCAACCATTTTAAAGTTGTTTAAGTGCCGCTAAGCCTAATAATTTTTTTGATGGCGGTCATTGCTTGTTTACATTTAAAACAGCAGAGTAGTAGATTTGCTGAAAATCTAGAGAAACTTAGCTTCGCTACAACAAAGATAACGCCTTCATTTATTATTGCGAATTAAATCATGCTTAATCCTTTCTGGAATTTTTTCGAGGAAATAAGTGTTTAAGATATACTTCGTAATTTTTAATACAGATATTTTGAGTTTTTATGTATTTTTGCCTCGTTGCGAGGCATTTATTGTAACGCATGGCACCGCAACCGTGAAGTTTAATCGTAGCGCAAGTGGTTAATACTTCAAATAATTTAATGTAAATTTAAATGCGTAAATTACTCGTCTCTAATTTCCCCGCCATCACACATTTCGGGGTTTCCTACTTCAAAAAAGAAAAATAATGCAAAACCATAAATTATTCGTCTCTAATTTACCTATCATTATCCTACAAGATCAAACGATTAAAAGAACAGGGTCCCCTCCTTAAAAATTTATGTAAATTTAAATGTACATTTAAATTTTGTGTATGTAAATTTAAATTGTACATTTA